CCCCCCCCCCCCCACATATAGACCCTTTATAATCTTACCAGTTAACCGTACCCTTCCTCCTCTCAATCCCCTAAAGGATCCCGATTGGCACAATATCATAACTAATGCAGGGTTGGGATGAGGATATCAGTCCCAACACTTGGGATCTTGCATCTTGGCAGGTGCTAAAGTTTTCGATGAGAAGTTGATATTTCGTCTCAAGTTCCACACAAATCACTATTTAGTTTGGTACATAGTTCTTGGGTATCCTTACTCTCGATCCTCCAATGGCCTCTTTCTTTCTTTGTTAAAGCATGCCACATATATAACGGAGAGTGCCGGCATGACTACGTTTTTATCTTGGAGATGCTCAACATGGCAATCAACTCTATCACGCTCTAGTGTTGAAGGTGAAAAAAGGGATGTTCCTAACAGTGTTGTGGAAAAGAGGAAAACTGATGCTGGCTGCGTACACTTTTACAAGTACTACACTACTCTCTTATCAAGACCACTATCCTCAAATGTCGAATCCATTCCAACACCAGCACACAAAGGATATTGATATTGACATAAATTTGGTGTGGGTTAAGGTTGGTCTTGGTCATGTACGAGTTGCTATGTGCCTTCGTCCTAGTTGTATACCAACATCTTCACCAAGAGCTATTCTATATACGATACACCTCTAGGTATCCAAATACCGTACAACCATTCCTTAGCATAGATTTATATGCTCACTACATGGAGTTTGTGCACTCAGTTTACACAAATAAGCTCTCAATGATCACTAACCAAAAAGGTATTGTTCACTAATAGTTGTGAAGTTGTGCAAGTGCACTCTTCTCTTACATACGGTTGTATGATAGACTTCTACTTTACCAAGGTCTTACGAAGCCACCCTTTTTAAAGAATTTTTGTCTAGTCTGGGCGTTCAACATCCTCTCGCTCTGTCCGTCGTGGTGCAATAGACATACTCGTTCCCTCTATCCCAAATAAATAGGCACAGTTTGGTTTGAGTTCACAGAATTTAAAAAGGCGTTGAAACTTAAAAAGTGAATGATTGATATTTGTTTAGAAGAAAGAGAAAATTTGTGGACTACATATTCTTTACTAAATTATAAAACTAAAGAAGTATGACAATTTTTTTGAACTGAATGAAAAGAAAACTGAGACGATTAATACAGGACATAGGGAATAGATAATTGACACATCCTCTAAAATTAAATAATCATAGAGACATATTCTAGGGAAGTAAATATTTGGTGAATACATATCCTGTTCGTGTTGTATATATCTATAGATACCTTCCTCGAGGATGGGGCTCATCCTTTTTTATTAATCAATACACAATAAATTCCCTTTCAAAAAATACATGATACATTCTAAACACAATAAGATAGTTTTTTCATGTGGCTGTGTATATTTGTGATTAAAGAGTAGACTAATATCTAATTTGGTCCTGTAGATAGAATTTTTCAATAAAAGTTGAACTTTTTTTTTCACTTTTGGTGATTTTAGTCCTTCGCTTTTATAAAAGTTTTTTTTTGCTCAAAATCTCGTGTGTGAACCTCATGAGTATACATCGCCTATTTAGTTACTTGGTTGGATTAATTATTTGCCACCCAATAAAGAATATTTGTGATCCAATGAACTTTTGTCACATCTTGTTTTATAAAACTTTTAGTGTACTTTTGAAATATGAGAAAAAACTAAAATAGGAGAAAAATATAGGGACAAAACCAAAATAAAACTTTCATGTTTTTATAGAAATCACCCTAAATAGGATTAAAACATAGAGAAAAGTACCAAAATAGGACTCTCATGTTTTTTTTCCTGAAATAGGACTTTGCACTGTGGTAATGTAACTTTGCACTGTGGTAATGTGACAGTGTACATGTGCACATTACTATATTTTTTTTGTAATGTATATGACCACGTTTGGTAATGTAAGTCCTATTTCGGGAATAAAAACATGGAAGTCCTATTTTGGTATAGTTTCAATGTTTTAGTCTTACTTTGGTCTTTCTCCCATGTTTTTATCTCTAAAATAGGATTTATGACAATATAAGACCCAAAAAACCGTGGAATGTCAATACACAATGTATCCACTGCAAAGACATTATGGAGATAAAAACTTGTCACTCTTATTTTAAGAATAAATGATAAGCTTTGCTTCTACTTTGGGTGATTTCTTTTAAAATATGTAATTTGTATTTTTTTATTTCTATACAAGTTTGTAAATAAAATAATTTTAAAAGAGAAGACATTTTGTACATTATTCCAAACAAGCAGTTAATTGTATACGAAAGGACTAATTGGGTTAGTAGTCGAAATATCGTATTGGTGAACGTGAAAAGTCAAATATAAAGATATTTAGATAGAGGGTGTATTTAGCATTTAAATCGTTTACATGTTTAGGAGGGTGACACGTAGGATTTAAAAAAACTTATTTTGCCAAAGGACTTCTGCGATTTTACGTTACATAGGACTATAATCGTTAAAAAGGACTTCTTTAGCCAAAGTGATCTATTTCTAAGACCGATATTACAATTTGCCTTAGATGAGTATACTCTTTAGAGAATTCTAAATAAACTTGTGTGAGGGGAAAAACAACTTACCATCCTTTATAATCTTTTGGTTGTCTATTTGCCTTAAGAAATTCATCCAATTCTTTTGATGTCAGACCATTTGCACTCAATCGGGCATGTTTCTTGAATATTTCCTCAAATTTCGATAAAACAAACCTTCAAAAAGAAAAGTATATCAGCACACATGCTATATAAAGTGAGTCAGCACACTGGTGACACTAAATCTATACTTTTCATAATCAAACAGATAAGGCCATTTGTTCACAGCTTCACTAGTTGGAGAAGTGGTTCGAACGATCAAATTAGAAGTTCGAGCTGCTATAAAAAAATCGAAGGGCATGTTTGGTAAGCAAAGCAGGATTGATAATATATACAAAGTTCTTAAAATCTTAAAGAAATAATATAGGTCATAAAATTTACGTACTATTTACTTTTTTAGCACATTTATTAATGCTTAGACTCCGTGCAATCAAACTTGGGTATGAAACCCATCCCACACCAGATGAAAAGAGAGGGTACCAAACTAAATACATTCAACTCAACCTATTAGTACGAATCCTTTAGGAAACTACCTAAAAACATATTACGGCTTGGCCAAAAGCAAACAATATACTAATACTAATGCAGGGTTGGGGTGAGGGTACACATCGTCCCAACATATTGTATCAAAGCCAAGTTATAATTGGAAACAAAGAATTTGTAAATGATAAGAGAAGAAAATTGGAGAACGTGAGAAATGACATCGGTATAGAGTTCAAACATTACTTGAGAAGGGACAACCAAAGCTTTGAAGGTAAAGACTAGAAAATTGATGAATGCTAAGACTTTGTTCGTTTCGGTTGTAAAAACAGAGTTGGATGTTGGAAGAAATTGAAAGAAACTGGAAAGAGTTGGAAAGTGTTGGAAAAAATAAAATGTTAAAAAAAACCACTCAATTAAATAATTACCTAAATAAATATGTAAGAAAAAAAATTTTTGATAAAAATGAATTCATCTTTGTCCGCATTTGAGGTGGTGTGTTATATATTTAGATATATAATATTGTTGTATATTCATCATATTAAACACTTTTTTTAGTCATTGCTGGAAGAAATTGGAAGAACTCAAAGGAGTTCGAAAAACTGAAAGGTATTGGAAAAAGTTGGAAGTTAATTATTCCAACCCATATGGACAATGGGCCCAACACCGACAAATAGAAAAACCAAAAAAGTTGTCGAATGAGTGGGAGAACTTGAAGGACATCGCAACAAATATAATTTGAATATGCCATGCAAGTTATACTTTTCGAGAGTTTCTCGGTTTGACAGATCCGGTGGATATTTGGGATAAGTTGGAGAGTCGTTACAAGTCAAAGTCATTGAAAAGTAGGTTATACATCAAAAAACAATTGTTTGGTCTTCAAATAGTGGGTGAAGCAAACTTCAATGGACTTCTGAACAAATTCAACAAGATTAAAACGAAGTTGGAATCCATAGATGTAGAGATTAAAGAGGATAAGGCATTGCTTTTCTTGGCTTCTTGTTGCCTTCGTCTCTTAACATCGTGACTACACTCTTGTATTAGAAATAGACCATAAAATTTAATGACATAGTTGTTGCATTGCTCATGAACGAGAGGTTACGAGACTCGGCAAAACAACAATGCCGCTTCAAATAAGAGTCGGGCTTTGGTAGCAAAAGTGGCGAGTCGAGAACGAAGAGGCTCAAAAGATACGGGAGATGTGTCCCAACGCTCCAAATCGAGTAATAAAAGATATCGGTGTTACTAGTGCAATGAAGAGTTGAGGGTCTTTGAAAAGGGATTGTCCAAATAGGAGGAAGGAAACGGACGAGATTACACCTGTGACTACAGTTGTGGAAGGTTCAAGCCAAGCAAGTGATGAAGACAGATTTTAGCAACTACAAAGACTCCAAGTACAACAAATTGGATACTAGAATTGGGTTGTTTGTTTCACATGTGTTTAGTTAGGGAGCAAGGTCGCCGGATTCGAACATTATGGGTTCGTACGTTTGATGGACTAGTGAGAACCTTAAATAGAGATATCATTGGAAACTTTAGATTCGAAAGGCTGTTTATTTTTTGCTCAAGGTGGAGTGTTAAAAGTTTCCATGGGGAAATGGTAGTATCACAGCGAAATATGTCAAATGGCTTGCATAAACTTGTAGGGAAGCTGTAAGAAGTTACGAGTGGGTCAAGCAGAAATTTTACATGGAAGAAGCGGGTGATGTTTGATGCTTTTCCGATTGGCGGGGGCCGGAACGAGCGAGGTAGAGCCGGACCAAGTTTGAATTTTTAATCAAGGTGAAGTTTGTTGGAATTGATTGAATAATCAAAGAAAAAAAGAATAAAAAAGAAAATGATAAAGAAGAAGAGAAAAACATAATGGATGTGGATAGTTGACCAATGATACGTTGCATGCACATGCATGTGGCGAAGCAACTATCCTAAACACAACTAAGATTTTGTTTTTTCCTTCTTGATGGAAGCTGGACTTTTTTATCATTTGGTCTCCTTTAGACTTTATAAGAGAGGATGCTTAGAGAAAGAAACAAGAGAGAGTGAGTAACTGATATATAGTTATTTGAAGAAATACATTCAGACTTAGGATGTGGAAAAGTCTATTCATAAGTGTCTAGATAAAATTTGGGAACAACATTTTCAATTAGCGTTAACGTTTTGGATAATTTTTTGACGGTGCAAATTAATTTTGAAAATGCTTAAGTTAAATGTTGGCATTAAATAACTTTTTGAAAATGCTAAAGCTGTTGCCAAACGGGTCCGTAATGCTCTACTTTTACTAAACTGAAAATGTAAGTTTGTGGCATTTAAATAAAAAAATTCATTCTTTTTTCATGTCAAATACATATTCGAAGATACTTTTATAGAGAAAGTAATTGATTAATGTACCTTCCTTCGGAATCATAGACACCGGAATCACTAGTATGCTTCGCCAACTTGATGTTTTCCACCTCAATAGGGAAGAGAAGGGATGGCCACTTCCCCTACAATAGAGCAAGTATATTATATATACATACAGAGTATATATATTACCAATTAATGTCTTTCTTTTATTTAAAATGTCAAAATAACTACTCACGAGTAAGTTTTGTTTTAAAGTGTGATAATTACACATTATATGCAGAGGAGCATATTGGTCAAAATTCAAAAACAGACAAATTATTCTATAACCAAGCTGAAATTACCATCAGGCCAGCCACCAGTAGCATATTGCGGAAAAAACAAATATGTGTGTGTGTGTGTGTGTGTGTGTATTTATATATATATATATATTTATTTATTTATTTATTTATATATATACAAACATACATATATATATGGTGCAGAAGGATTGCATGGGGGGTCTTCAGGTGGAAAGTGTCAAGGAACCAACTCAACCAAAAGCTCAAGCTTGTGGTTGTGGCCCAGGAACAGTTATTTATATTCTAACACGTCCCCTCACGTGCAGGCGTAGTCCTTTTCGAGCCTTGCACGTGAAACTTTAATTTTTTTAAACTGGGTGGCGCTAAGTTTCGAACCCGTGACCTCTTAGTCAATGAGGCTCTGATACCATGTCAAGGAACCAACTCAACCAAAAGCTCAAGCTTGTGGTTGTGGCCCAGGAACAGTTATTTATATTCTAACAGAAAGCGTTGAGGTTGTCCTTTGTGTGTGTTATTTACTACATTTGGAATACCCATGCTGAGGTTTATTTTGATCGGCGTTCTATTGTTTTTAGAAAATATTGTTCGAAAAATTAAGCTCATGGACTCATGGTTTATAAACTGATGTAAAAGCTTTTTCCTGATTAACTTTTGACCTCGGCTTTTCTTTGCCGATCGATTTTGTTCGGGTATGCCTGTCCTATACTGTATATATTTGCACTTGGGTTACTAATCTATTATTTAAAGTTTACCAAAAAAATTCAGTAACAAAGTTTCAGTAAAAATCTATATTAGTTGTATAGTACATTTCATCTAGATCCCGGAATCCACTTACTGGTTTATAGAATCCAGTTATCCTACTCCACACTCCAGTTATCCGACTCCAGTTAAAATTAAGACCAAAAGAACGTAATCTAAGTCACAAAAATTGCTTCATTAAAGGAAAGTAAAACCTTATTTTGAGACAATTCCAAAAAGAAATGTGAAACATTGTCGCCAGAAATGAGATTTTTTTGTTTTTTCAATTTTAGTATCACTTATTATTCAAACTCAACCACTCTTTAAACGCTCTTTTCCTTCAAAAACTGAGCGCCAAATAAAACTGGGGTTAGATCCAAGCTTGGCTTGGAATAAATCAGAGTTAGCATAGTATCTTGCTTAAAACAAATTCAAGCCTCATCTAGTTTTGTTTTTACTAGGATTGCAAGATTAAACCACCGCAACTTTCAAAATCCCATAACAAATGTCAACACAAGCAACAACTGCTAATACTTTCCAACAACGATCTGTAAAAATGCAGGTTAACCCATCCAGGCCTGGAGCTTTGTCTGTGTGCATCATAAACACAACATCTCTTGCATGCTTCTCAGTAAAAGGTCATGTTAGGTTGGCATTCTGGTCAGGTGTTAGTTTCTATGTAAGGCCTGGTGTCATATCCCCCTGTTTTGATGTGAAAAGTTCATAATAATGTGTGTTCAGTTTTGGCAGGCCAGTTTCCCAGATACGAGGTTAATCGGGATAGTGATGGGATTCAACTCTATCAAATTGCAAAAGATGCATATGTAGCTATCAAATAAGGCAATAATGATACTTGTAATGTAATATTAGTTCCCTATATTTTCAGTTTTAACACATTCATTTGGTAATACTTCAACTACTACCGTTCCTTTTAAACCTTGGGCTATGTGAATTGAGAGTTGTAGGGTGGACATGATATAAGAAGTTGAAAGGGTTTGAACACTAAATTTGAACAAAAATATATAATATCAAACCATCTAAATTAAACTTTTACGAGATGAATTGGAGTATAATCTTTACCGGACGAGTTTTTTTACTGAGCCCAAGATTAATAAAGACGGCTGCTATAATTGATAGAGGCACCCCACATCCAATTTTTCTAAAACCTGAAAAATAAATAGTGAAACAACAATGTAAATTAAAGAGATTCTATAAATTGTTATTTATTATAGGGGATTTTCCATATACAATCTCCAATTCTAAGAATATAACATTCGCGTTCCTTGATATTTGAAAACTATTCCATGATCAGACATTGGGAACTATATGTGAAACACAATATTTGGTCAAAGGACTGATTATGTGATGATTATAAATATAGAATTTTTGGAATTTTTGGAATATATGATATGATGTAATGATTATAAAATTTAGAATATATTTGGGTCAAAAGACCTTTATGGAATTTACTCTAAATTAAGGTATGCTTGCATCTAGCCCTTCTCCTGTCCCATTCTAAGTGAGACTTAACTAATTTCTTTATATGGTTTTGTGGGAAATGAATTCAGATTTTTTTTTAAAAAAGTTTATGTTATCTTTCACGATAATCCTATAATCATACTCACATTCTATCCAACAACCATATGTATATGAAAAGTGTACACTCACTGTGAATTAGTGAAGAATTTCTTTCTTGATTAGTGAACATATTACTGTGTAAGATAATGCAATGGTAAGCAATTCATTTGTGGTTACCTAATCATAGCTTCCTTTTAGAAGAACAATTTCTTTCTAATCAGTGAGCATATAAGTTTTCATTCAAATATGTGTCTAATATTCTTATTCATACGGTAGATCTACTCCTAGCAATACACTTTGATGGACACGTGAATTAAGAAAATTATATTGTTTGACACAAAAATGCATCCCAAATCAACTTCTAGATATGCTCTTGCATAAGCCCACGTCTCCCAAGGCACGTATAGTCCTCTCCCGAGGTCGGTTCCAACCACCTTGCTAGTCAATTAAGCCATCGTCTCCCCAAGTTGGTCATAACCACCTCGCAAGGCATCAAAGCCCTTGTCTCCCGAGACACTTAAGCCTTTGTCTCCAGAAGTACCCAAAAGCCTCTTCCAACATGCACCCTCTATGTCCTCTTCCACAGAGGCACCCCTAATATTTTCTAGAGTGACATCAAAAACCTCTCCCAGGAGATACTTGAGTCCCCTCTGCACGAGGCTTTAGAAACTTCCTCCCGTAAGCTTCTGAAATCTTTCCCATAAGAAACTAAGGGTATTTACGTGAAGTCTCAAAAGACCTTTGCAGAGACTCTTAAGTCCTCCCCAAAAGGTGATGAGGTTGACTTCTCGAGGTGCCTCCAAACCCTCCTCGAAGGCATACAAAACCTCATGAGCCAAGTCCATTGTACTCGCGCAATTGAGCTCCCCAATTTCTAGCAAGTGGGCTCCATGTTTCCCCTCATCATCGGCCCACCCCAAGCATGAATGCGGCAGTCCCATTAGGGTGGTCGGCCAGGCCGAGCCCATGGTTATATCTCTACTTGTTTTTTTTTATCTTATTTTTCAGGTCAACATATCTTATTTGTCAGGTCGACAGGACGTATCTACTATATATTCAAAGCATCAACAGAGCAAGACGATCAAAGGGGCACCCTCGTAGCGGAGCATAGGTGTTATTCCCTTTCACCTTGAAGTTCCTTGTCTCAGGGAGTGGGGAACTCCAGGTCAGCTGATAGTTTTTTTGGCAAGAGCTCCCGCCATTGCATCATGGCAAGCGCACTTGACTACGTACAGTGAGTTTGGGGGACTTCGCGAAGTCTGCCTCCTTGTGTGCGCTTGGTTTCCTTTGGTTCACTTGAAGACCTTAGGCCCCAAAGGTGTTCTTCTTGGTTCACGTCGTGGGATGGGATGTACTTTTTTCTTGACCAAGGTTTTATACGATCCTCATGGGTTTTTCATTGACATTTTTTAACAAGGCATCCCCTCATGGGGTTGGACCAGCGCTGAGGGGACTAAGGGGGGATATCTGAAGATGACAAGCAGACTACCATTGATTTCTTTATACGCTTGTATGTTGTTAACCACACTCTGCACAGTGAGTCCATCGTATGCATTCATTGCATTCTTGTTTATTGATTTGTGTTCTACTTCCACTTGGCCTCGTTCCTCTCGGCTCGAGAAGTGGGGGGGCGGGGGCGGACTCAATGGATATACTTGACCCGAACCTGCACTCTTTAGTCTTATCTCATTGGCCTGCCAGCTCGGCCCACCTCTGCCTAGTTCATAAGTAAGATAGTCGGATGTGTTTAGATATTTGTTGGATAGTGCGTGTTGGGTTGTGCCCCAACACCGTACCCCCTTTGAGCCCGGCCCGCGTTACTGATGTATGAGTGTCTAATTTTTTACTCTTCATTTCTCTCACTTTACCTTCTCTCGCTAAACTTGGTTCACATAATCCTTCAATGGAGTCTAGATCTATGGACCCCTAGATCCATGATTCCATCCGCTCTAACCATGTTGTCTAGTTTGGAAAATACATCAAACGTAATGAATGAATGTCAAATAACCAAAACAGGAAAAGAAAAGTACCAAAAATAAAATATATTTTGAAATTCGTTTGTCTTTTTACTTAATCCCTAAGGAATACTCCTTGTGTGCAAATTTAGTACTACTAAAGTTCATCTTGAGTATAATTGAAATTTATCTTCTTCTTTTTTTTGCGATAACTAATTGAGGAATCAAAATATGTATGCGTACTCTAAAATAACTGAAAAGGTAATACTAGTAAAAAATCAAAACCTTGATATGTTTCCCTTGGATAAATGATTCCATCCCGGTTGATATCAAAAAATATTACATGTTTTTGCAGAGGAGTAAGCTCACGAGATTCTCCAGTTCCTGAAATGCCAACAATTGTTATTTTTTAACATTAAAATCATCATTTCTTGTATCAATAACAGTATACTCTCAATGCTGGATTGCTGTAATGAAAATTATGAACGAAAATCGAAGCATACCGTCATGATAAACAGAGTTGTTGGAGGAAGAAGATGAATCTCCGGCGGCCATGGCTGCTTGCTTCAATTATTTGGAAATTATATCTGGAACAGACGCTAATTTCTTATCTTAATTATATAGGGTACTCTGGAATACGGAGTAATATACTGAAATGGATTATTTGATGATGGGGTCATGGGGGGAAATAACTAAAGCACCGATTCTCCCAGATTTTCCGCGTTTGGCAGTTGCGGGAGCTGTTAAGTTTTTATTTTATTTATTTAATTATTTTGACAGCAATGGGGCTGTTTATTGATTCTACCCCTCTATCGGAATATTTATCCACTTTCATTTTTATACACCATCGAATACACTTCTTTAATACATTTTATCTTGTAATTTGTATATTAAAGAATTATAGAAATTATATATCAATAATCTACTCCCTCCGTCACACTCTCTTTGTCCACTTACCTTTTGGCACACCATCCAATGCACTTCTTTAATCCATTTTATATTGTAATTTGTATATTAAAAAATTATAAAAATTATATATTAATAATCTATATGTTAAGACAAATCAAACAAGATCACACATGACTATATTTAGGCTTACATATTGAGAGAATTTGATGAGTCAAAGTACTAATTAGATGAACAGTTTCAAAAGTCAAAAGTGGACAAAAAGAGTGGGACGGAGGTAGTATATGTTAAGACAAATCAAACAAGATCACACATGACTATGTTTACACTATGTTTGGCTCAAGGATTTTGGAAGGAAAATAAAAGAAAATGATTTTCTCTCATTTTCCTCACCAAAATGGAAGGAATTTGATTTTCCCTCCACTTGGTACATTTTGCTTACTCATTTTCTTTTCCTTCCACTTTTTCTTCCAGACTTCCACTTTTCCTTTCTTTTCCCCTCTAACCAAACAAGAAAAATAGTTTTCCACTTCATTTTCTTTTTTTTTCTTTTTCAAATTCCTTGAACCAAACATAGTGTTAGGCTTACACATTGAGAGAATTTGATGAGTCAAAGTACTTAGATGAACAATTCCAAAAGCTAAAAGTGGACAAAAACTGGGAAACGGAGGAAGTATATGCGTTGGAGAATGTGTCGTGTTACCCTCATTTAAAGCAAAGTGCTTGCGTACATATTTGGAGCATCCAAGCGCGGAAAAAGACAAATGTGCCTTACTTCGGATAAACACCAACCTGAACCTTTGAGTATTGAGAATTTTTGGTAATTTATACTCCGTATTATATTGATATTTTAAAATGTTAAACTCCCTTTTAAGGCATCCCAATTCCCAATGCAGAGTCTTGACATTCTTTCAGAGTCTACTACGTCACCATTTTATATTTCAAATTACTCTTTGGATTTTTTCAAAAATTACATCCATACTTAGATTTTTTCAGACTTTGCCACATTAATATTTCATTATTTTTTATTCTACTCCGTATTATTTTATTTTATGTAATCACTTATCTAATACGCAGTATATAACTGTGTTATACATAAATTTTCTACCAATTTTGTGTATATATATAATTAATTATTAAGAAATCAACAACATAAGATTATACGGAGTATAAAATTATATAAAATCAACACACATAAAATACGTAAAATAAAATGAGTGCATTTCATTAAAATGTTTTAAGTAAGGCCAAAATTTACCATTGGTCCTTCAAATTTTTGAGTTGTACACGATTGATCCTTCAAATTTAAAAAATTTTTGAATAGTTATTCAACTTTATGAGTTGTACACGATTGCTCCTTCAAATTTTAAAAATCCATAAGTAGCCCTTCAAGTACACTCAGCCTCGAGATGAGGTCTTTTAAGTAAGGCTATAAATTGCATAAAATTAAATTAAAAGCACAACAAATTAAAATTACATAAGTAGACATAATTAAAATGTATAATCGCTCCATTTTGGTTGATCCGAGGATGCCAAACATTAAAAAAAATTAAATAAAAATTTTCTAAGAGAAAGCCAAACATTAAAAAATTAAAAAAAATACATAAAATAAAAATAAAAACATAACAAAATAAGATTATCTAAGTAGACATAATTGACGATTGAGTTTTCTCAATTGGGGAGGATTGGTTTTTCTATTACAAAATGATTGAAACTAATTTTTATTTTCAAAAAACAATTGCTATTGATTATATGTGCCTATTTTTTATAAGATGGGTTGAATTTCGAGTCTTGAGAGAGAGCTTGGGAATTCAAATACTTTCTTCCAGATTCTCCTTATTTTCTATGCATCTCAATGGTAAAATCTGGAAAAGAGAGGTTCAAGACTCTCTTTAGATCCTCATTGGGATGTTCTTAGAGGCTTAGACTATCCACAATGGTGGTGAAGATTTAGATATTTTAGAGTAATACTCCGTTGATAGGAACTTAGCCTCTTAAACTGAAGTCAGCTTAAGGCAACTGTAGTTAGCTTAAGGCAACAATAGAATAGAACAGAGTATTAATCATCGTCGGGTCGGGTGGTATTCCCAAACGAGTGATCCTCTAGTTTAGTCTATGAATTCAGTTCGTATGTTTTCATCGAATTCACCAATTTTACATATTTACGCAAGTCCATTCTAATCTGAGGTCTATCTTAGAGGTCTTCTAGATCGCCTTAACAATACACATTATGTTCTTGCTCATCGATATATTCATTTTGAATCATGGTTCATTAATTCATAATCGTCATTTAAATCAGGATAATCAAACAAACATATTTATTCACGATTCTATTCTTACATTTTATTTATCCAATACCATATTTCGTCATAATAAGATCGATATCATTACATAATCATAATCACATACGTCATCCATTTAATCGTCATAATCAATATTTAATAGAAATTCTTATCAACAATGTTTCATTATGGTCTATCCATTATAATAATCATTTGATTAGAATATCAAGGTTTGGTCATTGATGGATGCCTAATATTTTCCCCTAGGACTGTTGATCGGTCCATGTCCAAATATTAGTATCCGGGCCTTATAACAGTAAGAAAGTAAGAAAGGATCGTGAATAAATGCACAACACTCAAGAAATTAACTCAAACCGGAGGCCCTTTCTCTATTCGGTCCACCTTTGGATCAGAATATTCTATAGGCCAGAATATTCTTTTATTACTCAAGTCTTTCTCTCTCTGTTACAAGTTATCTCAACTATCTCAATTCTTTCTCCTTTTATAGGAGCTTTTCCTAGCCACCATCTTATCAATGTATCCGCGGTGGTTGGAAAATTATCTGGGCAATCCTCCCCTTTCCCAAAAATATCTTTCTTAGCCTAAAGCCATCCACTTAAGGACAAGTCTGTCCGTCTGACCATTATTCTCTGTCCCTATCCAAAGAATAACTGCATGTCCTCCTTAGAGGACGGCGTACCCTAGCTAATTTATTTGTAAGGTTCTCTTCCTCTAGGTGGCCCGGCCTTAATGGTCTGAGATCCAGCCCATCTCTTAGGCCCCCAACCTTATTTCGTTCCTTAGCTTGCCTCTTAAGTTGGATAGGTCCTCTTCTCGGTCCCCTATATTATCTCTGGGCCGAGTCTTTCTTATAATGTGCGGATCCCATCTTGGGTCAAGGCCCAAATTACTTATAATATCTCAATGGGCTTGGTTCCCATCAATCATAATCAATAGTCAATAATAGTCATCATAATATTTATTAATAAATAACGGTCTAGTGTCGAGTTTTAACACCCTATCTTACCGTCATGCATTAAATAATGTTCTTCAATTTGTCAAAACATCATATTTATTTCGAGAAATCATATATATATATATATATATATATATATATATATATCATAATTGATTATATTGATATCAAACATAGGATTTTATAGCTTTAAAAATTGCATTTTCGAACTTTAAAATGTAACAATCAGCTCAGATGATCGATCCACCTCAGGCGATCGATCCACCATAGGTTATCGATCACCCGAAGGTGCTTCAGTCACTGTTCATTGTCTCCTTCCTTTTGTCCATTTTTCAGAGATAATATTTTTAGTCAACAAATTTCAATTAAACTATATATAAATGTTCTCCAAGGTTCATAGATCATTTTGGTATCATTAATTCGTATTTTTAACAACAATTTCAAGGTTTATAATCTCTAGTTCTTCAAACATGTCAAACACAAAACTCAACCAAACGACCGTTTATGAACGTAGAAACGATCTATACAAACATTCTAGCCACTAGATATATCTAAGGGCTTACCTCGAGCTTAAACTGAGGTTTTAGAAATTTTCCGGCAAAACTTCTAACGACGATTACTTCAAACTCCGGCGACCTCAAGCTTTCTGGGTAGGACCAATGAACTCTCCACTCAACAAAGAACACAATGATACTAACTTTGAAAAAATTTGTGAAGAAATGGGAAGAAGAGGTCTTCCTTATGTAGTGGTGAAGAGGAAGAAGGCGTCAAGCCTGCTATGTCATACGTGATTCACGATTGGCTGGGTGGAGGAGGAGGCACCGTTTACACATCTTTTCTAATTGGGGCTAATTTTGGTCCAATCAGGGTACACTTTTTGGTCCAACTTTCTCTGAATTAAATTCCGCTTGCATCATTGCGATCAAACAGTCAAACCCTATTCAACGATATAATTTTTAAATTTATTTGTAATACTTTTTTCGATATCATATTTTTGTGTGTTTGACTTTGACAGAGTCAAAATTGATTTAGTTGACCTTTATTTAAAATGGTTCTCACATTTAATTCATATTACTTATTCTCATGATTTATTTCAATAAATCTTTTCAAAGTTGACATTATAAACAAATTCTTCATTTATTCTTAATTTGGGTCTGTAATCTGGTTCCCAATTAAGATGACACATAAAGTCAACATATTAGATTTACCTCTATGAGATTTATCCATATTGTGATATTGGATATCAAAACATATTTCATTTCAGCCCAAATCCCAACAATAAATTATTTTAATCAAAATAAATTTGATTAATTGAATAATAATTCAATAATAGTTTTAGGGTATATTTTGAGGGATTACATTTCTTCCCCTCTTAAAAGATTTTTGTCTTCGAAATTATTCTAAGGCTCCATGATCAACATCTTGTTGTATTCTCGTTAATCATGACCGTGTCATGTTTATTCAGTTAAATCATTATTACTTCGTTATTGCTATGGACACGTATTCTCAAACCGTTGATGTCATCATACTCGTTCTATCTTCGAGAGATTAACAATCTTTGATTAAGCAAGGCATTCAGCGATCCTTTTGTAGATTTAGAGTCAGTATCAACAACTAAGATTCCTTCGCAGTGTATAGCATTGTATACTTGACATGTTTGCTTATAACTTCGTTCATTCACAATTCTTAATTGCACAACGTTGATTAACGATGATCTTCCTTTGATTGAAAGTCCTTCAGTAGCCTTTGTAGTTTTGAATCATCACATTCACGGTAGGTAAAATTGGGGATTTGGAGTTTGTCTCAATTCATACGTCATAGCATAACTTTTTCAAGTCACTCGAGATATCTTCACATCGTTCACATAGTTCGATCAGAAATGACTCGTAAGATACAACTTCGTTCAAATGGCTTTTATTGGATCACGATTTTCAGAATATGGGATTTGTCGTCATTTATGAGGAAGTATAGTCGATTGGTTGTACAGTAGCTCGTCATCATCGATCTTACGTCAAAATATTTCTTCGCTCACCTTCGTGGTAGTTCTCATTACCGTTAATGAGCTTTTGTATCAATTCATATTTATAGGTGATAACGTCCGAGTATCGTCTCGTATTCGTTTTGTCGTATTCAACTTTCTTTCATTGGTTTGAAAGTATATCAAGATATGTTCATGATAGTGAAAGGTTTGATTGTAACACTATGGTTAATCTCGTTTCGAGGGAAGAAGAGAATATCTTCAATACGTGATTCAATTTCATGATTTCACAGAGTAAGGAATCTTACTAGTTCTTACACCAACATCGCATATAGGTTCGGGGTTTTTACTTGAATGATTCAGTTTGGTTTTTGTGACGTCATTTCTTGTTCTGGTTGTTGCACAGACATTCCCTTGCTAGGGTCAAACCAGAGTTTTGTTGATCACTAAGATCATGGAAAATAATCTTTATCGATAACACAATCGCATCAATTATTTTCTGGTTCACAGAGGGAGGTTCAACACAATGTTCAAGTCAAGGTACTTTTACCTTTGTGATCAAGTCACGTAGTTCAGAGAATATGGTTTTCGAAGATTAGTATCATCATGCATCACATGGATTTAATAACGAATCTTAGTTCGTTATTGATAATAGTTTGGCAATTTAGGATCTTCATAGGATTCTTGATTTGGATTCGTTGAATTGTTTCGTATTTTAGAACATTGACTCATCTCTAGTTGAACTGAAACAGATTGATTTTGGACAGAAGTAACTGGATATGGTTCAGGGTTAGTAGCACATTCCCTTCGGTAATGTCCAGGTTTGCCACAATCTTGCGCAAGCTAGCATTCTCCTGCATAATGTCTTTTACAAACGTTACACTTTGGATTTTCCCATTCCCTAAATTTACTTTGAGATGGCACCTATTGAATTGTCACTGACTTTCCCTTTTTCGAGTGCAGGGCACTATTGGTCTTACTCAAGGGTCTCTTTCCACTAGTAGTTGGTCATACACTTGAATTAACATTTTCAGTCTTCAAAATTTCATGGTAGTCACTTAGATACTTCTCGGCTTTGGAGATTAAGTTGTATGCCTCAAAGAAATCCACAGTCGGAACGATAGATACGTGTGGTCTGATATCAAGTCGAAGTCTCTCGCGAAACTCCTCGATGCGGTCAGCCACTGTGCCCACCAGCGTGGGTGCAAATTGAGCAAGATGGACAAATTTCTATCGGTATTTAGGGAGCGTCATGTCTCCTTGCTTTAATTCAACAAATTCAACACGTTTCTCTTCACGGAATCATGTTAGGATATATTCTTTCTTGAACGCCCAATCAAAGAATTCCCAAGTTCAGGGTTTGGGTGTGTATTGATCTTCATCAGTGTGTTTTCACCATTCATAGGCTTCCTTGCGAAGTAATTGGGATGCAAGTTTTGGATGATCAACAAGAGGTATGTTCAGATTTTATAGCACACGAGCGGTCTGCTCGATCCAATCAAGAGCGATCTGGGGTTTGGCAATTCGATCTCCCAGGAACTCCTCAGCACCATTGTCTTTCAAGGTTTTGAAAGTGATCAAACGAGGTGGTGGTGGAGGTCGTGGTTGAAACACAATGGCATTGGTCATTTGTTGCAAAACGTTTGCCATAAACGCAGGCAGGATAACATCGGGTTGACCTCCAATATTTTGATTATTTTGGAGAACATTTTGTGGGTTTACTAGTTCATTTTGAATATAAGGGGTGAAGCTGGATGCTTCAGTATGAACACTTGCGTGCTCGTTGTTTGGCACTTGGTTACTTTGATCGTGAGCAGTTTCTTGGCACTATGACTAGAGCGCGAACGCAACGAGCAAAAAGACTATGAGATATTCATGTTGAGCGTTGATCATTTGTCACCTCCAGAGCGCTCAACTGTTCTGAAAGTGGCTTGGAAGTGCAGCCGACAACATGGGCAATGACCTTTGATTTGTTTTAATCAAGTAATTTTTTTAAGGGAAAAAGAATAAAGTAAGAGTAAAACATTGAAAATATAACAAAATAAACTTCCATATTTTTATTCTCGAAATAAGAGTTTAAATGCATTTACATTACCAAACGTTGTGATGTACATTACCAAAAAGTATAGTAATGTGCACTTGTACAGTGTCACATTACCACAGTGTAAACTCTTAATTCGAAAAAAAAAGAAGTCTCATTTTAGTACTTTTTATATGTTTTAATCTTATTTAAGGTGATTTCTATTTTTTTAATCGAGTGTTCAAGTCCATGTAATTTAACAAATTTTTTGTCATCTATCATTTTTATTTCTCTTTTTTTTTGTATTAGATCAATATAACTTTTAACTTTAATGTTAAAGAAATATTTATTTAATGTTTTTATTTTAAGTAATTTTGATAAAATAAATTTTAAAAAGAGTAAATTTCCAAAATAGTCTTTTGTAATAAGGGATTTTCCCAAATTAGTCCTCAGTAAGTTTTAATTATCTACATGGTCCTCTATAATTGAGATTTATTCCCAAAATAGTCCTTTGTAATAAGATATTTTTCCAAATCAGTCTTCAATAAGTTTTAATTACCTAGGTGGTCCTTTATAATTGAGATTTATCCCCAAGATGGTCCTTCATAAATAATGTTACTCAAATGAGGATTAATTGAGGTTATTTTGTTCTGCTAAATTTAGAATTAATTCTTAAAATAATCATTTATAATGAAATGCTTTCCCAAAATGATTTTTCTAATTAAAGATGTGTATTTGATTTGAAATTTAAAAGATTTTTTTTAAGTTTTAAATAATTCATAAATTATTTATACTCAATGTATTTTTTAAATTTTACATTTAGTTGTACAGAAATGATTGTTTCAAAAATATACTTTAAATTTGGATTATCAAAATACCAAAATATCTCCCAGTTAATCCTCATTTGATGATTGATTTGGGAAAACACCTTATTACAAAGGACCATTTTGAGAATTTACTCATAAATAATTTATGAATTATTTAAAACTTAAAAAATCTTTTAAATTTCAAATCAAATACACATCTTTAATTAGAAAAACCATTTTGGGAAAGCACTTCATTATAAATGATTATTTAAAGAATTAATTCTAAATTTAGCAGAGAAAAAATAACTTTAATTAATCATCATTTGAGTAACATTATTTATGAAGGATCATCTTGGGGATAAATCTCAATTATAGAGGACCACCTAGGTAATTAAAACTTATTGAAGACTGATTTGGGAAAATATCTTATTACAAAGGACTATTTTGGGAATAAATCTCAATTATAGAGGACCATGTAGGTAATTAAAACTTACTGGAAACTAATATGGGAAAATCCCTTATTACAAAGGACTATTTTGGGAATTTACTCTTTTAAAAATGAAGAAAAAAACGGGACGCCGTGATCCACCGCTAATAGCCTAACACCCACCACGAAATGATGAAAAAGCATTTGATTCTTTGAATGAAGGAAATTAGTCAGCATGAATACAGTACATAGCCTAGTCCCCTCTACCTTCTTTGAGAAACAACATTTCTCCTCCTATGGATGTAAGAAGTGCTGGCATATCTACACCACTTTAATTACTTCCACAAGGAAAAAGATGAGGAGAAAAAAGAAAGAAAGAAAAAAAGAAACTTGTGATTTGTGAACTTTGCTTCTACTCTGTCTGGTCTAAAAAGCCCTATAGAGCTTTTGGAAAGACTTCTTGGCCCCCCTCATCCCCACTTGTTAGGCTGCTTTCCAATTTGAGTCTCTCAACTAACATGTCCAATGCCTCCTTCATCCAAATCTGCTGGCAAACTTCTCTGGCATCTGCCGCGCACATCTGCAGAGATTGTAGTTTAATTTAGTGAAATTTGCACTGAATAAGACTAAAACATACTCCCTCCATCGCACAAAAAAGTTCTCATTTTGAATAGTATTTAGTCAAATATTTAAACGCTTTGACTTCAAATTGTGAGAAAAGTATATTGAATTATGAAATAAATTTTATATAATTGGATTCATCTTAGGATCTAGTTTTGATATCTCAAATTTTTTTAGCATTTCTTTATTTAGATTATATTTAATTTAAGGTCAAAGTGTGCTATAGTTTGACCAAATTATGGTCAAAATGAGAACTTTTTTATGGAACGGAGGTAGTAAATCAATTCCCAATATAGGATTTAATTTTTTTTATTTTCTAAATAGAACTTAATAATGACTAGTGAGAAGAATAATGTCTCAAGTGATGCTGAATATTTAGTTGAATAATGATTAATAGGTAATGACCAATATGGTCCTACATTTGAGGATTTGAGGATGAGAGAATTGAACTTACCCACACTCTCCTTCGGAGATTTTTCTCAGGCCAGAGATCAAGTTGTTCTGTCACAAGCAATGGAAACATGTACCCTTCGCGGTAGATCGGGCGACTCTTGCTCATGAATCTCCATTTCCCCAACTCGCGCTGCAAACAAAACCAAATACGAAATCAAATCTCCGTTGGATTCGATCAGGAAAGTGAAATCTGTGGAATCAAAAAGCGAGAATCTGTGGCGCATCGCGAACCTCAACAACCCCAACAACACCGGCTTCTTCAACCGATTCGCGAGAAGCTGCTTCTTCGATGGACTCATCGAGCTCCCAACCTCCCTTGGGAAACATCATCGCCTGACCTTTCTGCGAGCTAATCATCAGCACCTCCAATCCGCCATTCCGGCTCAACCTGTAAGGTATGCATCTGCATTTCGCAGCAACAGAATAAGAAATCCGACGACCTGATGTTTTGTCGAATCTCATGGAACATAGAGTAGAATTAGACTTACCCGACGACGAGTCGGTGGCCTTTGTGGTACCTCTGCAGAGTCCTTCCGGTGCGAGACACCAGAATAGCCATTATTTCTTCTTCTTTTTAGTTCTAGGGAAGTAAGGATTTGTGGATTCTAATGTTGGAGGGATTGAAATGGAAATGAATGGAGGAGTACTGGATGGGTGAAGGACTTTATATAAAGGGACTGAAATAGAAATGAATGGAGGAGGAAAACTGGATGGGTAAAGGACTTTATATAGATTTGAGTCATAGGGACGCGTAGGTGCGCGTTTTTTTTAAGTATGGCGTGCTTCTCAATCTCGTCTCTGTAAGTTCGTGGGGCACAGCAGAAATCACCAATTGAAAACTATGCAAAAAAATCAACCAGCTATGCTGCAGAGAAGATGCTGCATCACTGTCACAGTAACAGTCTGTTATAGCACTTCTCTGTCACAAGCACACACAGAAGCAGCAGCGCCTACTGGGCAGATTGCTGTAACTGTAAAAAGCGTAAAAAATAATACCAGATATGTTTACGCAGTTCAGAGAAAAATCTCCTAATCTGCGGGGCCCACGTCCGTGTAATAGCCCTCCACTAAATTACTAGATGCAAGTTACACCGGTACATAACAACATGATGAGACACCCTTCTCCGAATTGCTATGACAAAACTTCTAATCTAGGATTTCTAACCCGAACTCTGTCCAGATCCGCTTCGGCTATCACATCTCCACCGAGATCACGAGGACAAACGTCTTGGCAGCCCTCTCCTTAAGCTCTGGTTCATCTCCTGGTTGTCACGATCTGTTTTGGCATTGAAGATCTCATCTTTCATGTAGATCGTAACCTTCTTCACGCAAGGGAAGCTCCAGGACGCGACGGGAACGCTCTACATAAGCGTATATTCTGTATTTTCCCTCTCAATTGCTCCGAGTAATTCCTAGGGACCTGCTGCGTTTTTATAGGCTTCTCTTAACACAATCCTAGTAGGAATAGGTTAGTAGAAGTTGGCTTGAACTCTACTTCCTTAATCTTGATCCACAAGTAGCCTAAAGAGTTGGGATTCCTTAGCATGTACAGCTGGAGTTATTATCATGTAATCACAATCCCAATAGGTCTCTAATTCAGATTGCAGCTTAAAATCTCGTGCTCAGATCTCTGATCCCGCACACTGTGTTGCAGCATCGTGCTGCAGCATCTTCCGGTCAACCTCGAAAACTGCAGCAACTCTAGAATTCTAAATAAAATAAACCTCTCCTTACAAATAGAGGTTTCTACCTAGTAAAACATCTATCACATATGGGATTCTATTTTGCCAAAAGATTAGCCAACACCATGGAACTAACAATCTCCCCCTTAGGCAATTTTTTGGCAAAATACATTGTGCACCATGCGCATAAAAGATTAAAGCATCTTTTAAGAACTAAGTCTTTTCTCCCCCTTTTTGACACAAAATATGCCAAATTTATTTAGGGTAAAAAAGAAAAGTAATACCAAGTTCTTTAAGAGCATACAACAATCACAAGCACAAAATAAAAATAAAATCTACCTTTACGATCCATGCACGTACTTCCCATTTGAATCTGCCGGAGCTTCATCCTTTTTTGTAATTTACTCCCCCTCAGGATTCGCATCAATACCACATCTTGCTTCAAAAAGTGTGCTAACTCTTTAAGAGATCACCATGATTGTTTGCAACGAACCACCCAAAGATCAAGCTAATAACTTAAGCTTAACCGCTCTGATACCAATTGTAAATTCGTGGGGGCACAGCGGAAATCACCAATTGAAAGCTATGCAAACAAATCAACCATCTATGCTGCAGAGAAGATGCTGCATCACTGTCACAGTAACAGTCTGCTATAGCACTTCTCGGTCACAAGCACACACAGAAGCAGATGATGCAGAGGACGTTACAGCGCCTACTGGGCAGATTGCTGTAACGGTAAAAAGCGTAAAAAATAACACCAGATATGTTTACGCAGTTCGGAGAAAAATCTCCTAATCTGCGGGGCCCACGTCCGTGTAATAGCCCTCTACTAAATCACTAAATGCAAGTTACACCAGTACATAACAACATGATGAGACACCCTTCTCCGAATTGCTATGACAAAACTTCTAATCTAGGATTTCTAACCCGAACTCTGTTCAGATCCGCTTCGGCTATCACATCTCCACCGAGATCACGAGGACAAACGTCTTGGCAGCCCTCTCCTTAAGCTCTGGTTCATCTCCTGGTTGTCACGATCTGTTTTGGCATTGAAGATCTCATCTTTCATGTAGATCGTAACCTTCTTCACGCAAGGGAAGCTCCGGGACGCGACGGGAACGCTCTACATCAGCGTATATTATGTATTTTCCCTCTCAATCGCTCCGAGTAATTCTCAGGGACCTGCTGCGTTTTTATAGGCTTCTCTTAACACAATCCTAGTAGGAATAGGTTAGTAGAAGTTGGCTTGAACTCTACTTCCTTAATCTTGATCCACAAGTAGCCTAAAGAGTTGGGATTCCTTAGCATGTACAGCTGGAGTTATTATCATGTAATCACAATCCCAATAGGTCTCTAATTCAGATTGCAGCCTAAAATCCCGTGCTCAGACCTCTGATCCCGCACACTGTGTTGCAGCATCGTGCTGTAGCATCTTCTGCGTCAACCTAGAAAACTGCAGCAGCTCTAGAATTCTAAATAAAATAAACCTTTCCTAACAAATAGAGGTTTCTACCTAGTAAAACATCTATCACATATGGGATTCTATTTTGCCAAAAGATTAGCCAACACCATGGAACTAACAGTCTCATTTACTCCCTCCGTCCTTAAATATTCACAATATTTGTTTTTTCAGCAGTCGTGGGAATTTTTGTTTATTTTGACATTTTCATTGGTTATTTGATAAAATAAAATATTCCTGACACCTCTTATTTCGAATAACTTTTCATGTAGTTTTTTATATGTAAATTTTATTTTCTATTTCTATACCAATATGTAAATAAAATGAATTAAAAAAAACTTGATATTTTGCCTCGGGAAATACAAATGTGGCAAATAATTTGGGATGGAGGGAGTACTAACTAAAGAGTACTCCGTACATAGTTCGTGTAGTACACGGAATTAGGTTTTAATTGAAAATTGAAATTTTATGGAACTGGATAACATGAAATTTAATTCTCCAGTTCCACTTCATTTTTAGCATTGATAATTCTAAATTAGAAGAAAAATTAAAGTAGGACTAAAATATTGAAAATATATCAAAATAGGACTTTCATATTTTTATTCCCGAAATAGGACTGAAAATGCATTTACATTACCAAACATGGTCATGTACATTACCAAAAAGTATAGTAATGTGCACATGTACAGTGCCACATTACAACCACATTATCATAGAATGAAGTCCTATTTCGAGATAAAAACATGGAATTCCTATTTTGGTACGTTTCTCTATGTTTTAGTTCTATTTATGGTGATTTCGATCCTAAATTCATATATTTTTGTATTACCAAAACCAGAATTGGAATTACTATTTTCAATTCTAATTTCATAGTTTCAATTTCATATACCAAATGGAACTTGAGAATCTCTATTTCTTCCCATTTACGGAGCACATTGTTTATCTTTGAGGGGACTACATTGCTTAATGTTCTCCCATAGTCCCATAATACGTACTCACTTCTTTTCACTACTAAAATTTAGGGTTGGGTTGGAAAAAATAAAAAAATCACAAATTGATTGAAATGAACAAGAAAAAAAACTGAACCTAAATAATCAAAATTGAGTGTAAAAAATAAACTAAGTTGTTATTGTTTAGTTTCCATTTTAGTTTTGTAAAATTTGCCATAAATAGGACTAAAACATAATGACTTTCCTAATGTAGGACTTAAACTTTTTTATTCTCTAAATAGGACTTAATAATGACCTAGTGAGAGGAATAATGTCCAGTAATGATGGCCATGGACATTTACTTGAATAATGACTACTTCATAATGACCAAAGGTCCTACATTGAGAAATAAAAACATATAGTCCTATATTGGGAAAGTTATTATGTTTTAGTCCTATTTAAGTAAATTTCTCTTTTGTTTTTCACTCTAGAAAATAGAACTAAATTGAACAAATCGGGCATTTCTATGTACTCCGCTTCATGTATATGAGAATATTTTATATGTGAAAAAATCATTGAAATATAAATAAAAATAACACATTAGTCGATTGAAGTAATTCTGCCTTAACTACTAAACATCTAATACCCCTATAAACTAAAAAATTAAAACTATAAATATCAATAATAAATCCTAATACGAAGTTATATTAACATTAGAAATTGATACAAATAATCTACATATTAACATGAAAAGATTTGATGTTATAATAGAAATGAAAATATTATATAAAAAAAGTAAATTTTCTGAAATTACGGAGTAAAATTTACATACGAAGACAAACGCAGCTACAGTGCCCCGTTGAATTGGTAAAAAGTGATAGTAGTTCCTAATCTCCTTCCCCTGCCCTCTGCCTCCCCTCCTTGTTTCGTCAATCTTGCCCTCTCAAATTGGTAATTTAGAGGGGATTGGAGGGGTTAGGGTGATGGAAACCATCAATTTACAAACGAACATAGGTGTCCGTGTCAAAATATAACCCTCAATTTGAGGGTCAAAAGAACCGTGGGGCATATATTTTAATTACTAAAACGTTTTAACTATATTTTGTTCATAAAAATATTTATTCTTTTTTTTCATTCCAATCAAATATACAACGTCGTTTAATATTTTTCTTCTAATTTGAGTTTTCAAGGTCTCTAATGTAACACTCTGGTCATTAGGATATTTGTTTATATATAAATATATGCCATGAAAATATGATATTCTAAAACTTTGTTTTGAAAGTAGTCCATTGATATTAAATTTATAACCCAGTTCAATTTATTTTTCCATAAATTATGGTCAATATTTTAAAACATTGAATATAATGCATTTTGAAAAAACATTGTTAAGAATTATTTCAAAATCACCAAGGAAATTAAAATTTAATTAGTTTAACATTTTAATAATTCACGTTGACTGTATATCGATAACTAAAATTTATTTTTAGGACAATGAATATTTTAATAAACTTTGAGATCACATATATTTTTCTATTCTATGGAGATACTAATAAAAATAATGGTAATATTCGGAATGATAAAAACAACAACAACAACAACAACAACAACAACAATAATAATAATAATAATAATAATAATAACGATAATAATAGTATAATAATAACATACTCCCTCCGTTTCACAAAAAAGTTCCCATTTTAATGTATTTTTGGTCAAATAGTTACATGCTTTAATCATAAATTAAATATAATCTATATAAAGAAATGCTAAAAAATTTTGAGATATCAAAAAACTAGATCCTAAGATGAATCCAATTACATAAAATTAATTTTATAATTCAATATACTTTTTTCACAATTTGTAGTCAAAGCATGTAAATATTTGACTAAATACTATTTAAAATGAGAACATTTTTGTGGGACGGATGGAGTATGACATATGAACTTAGATAAATTCACACTTGCATTTGACTTGCATGTGATTAACGCACTCCTAATTGTGTTGAACATGAATCATTCATGCAACATTTTAAAAAAATCAAGATAAATATGTAAGAAAACTCTAATTTTAACTAAAAATTAATTGATTCTTGTTTGTATTTGAAGTGATATTTTATAAATTTGGTTATATAATGTTATTAAATATTTATTATATATATATAAATTTTTAAGTCATTGAAAGAAACAAGAGACACATTGGAAGAAACTAAAAAGAATTTAAAAAACACTGAAAAAAATTAGAAGTTAATTTTTATAATCCAAAAAACAGGACCGTGTAGAACGATAGAACGAATGGAGAAAATATTAGTTTCGTGGGAAAAGAATGCGTGGAACGAAACAACAAATGCCGCTGGTATTAGAGTTAAAAGATACAGCTAGCGATTATACTACGAAGAGCCGGCGTTGCTGCAGGCCTGCATGCAGCCTTCGATGTTGCTTCCAAAAGTCTCGCACCCACGTCACCCTCAACCTCCAGGATTCATGACCATATCTTTGGTAGCAGGAGACAAAGATCCCTAGGCTAGTAGGGTTAGAAAATCCGTTCCAGGTCCGTAGGCTAGGGATAGCCAAAAATACACATTCATTTCTTTTTTCCCAAATCGGATCAACATGATATCCAATTTTAAATTGAATTTCAAATCATTTTAATAAAACTAGTGTTCCCTCCGTTCCAAAAAACCCTTCCGGTTTTGACTTTGGGGAAAAAAGGAAAGTGTAAATTTGGTTGACTTTCCAATTTTGCCCCTGATGTGATGGAAAAAAGTAAGATGTGATAGTTTGGTTATTAGTGAAAAAGTATGATGTGATAGATAGGTATGAAAAAGTAGGGGTAAAAGTGGTTTTTTAATAGAAAGTGGAAGTGTTTTGTGGAAAGCAAAAAAACGAAAGAGGAAAAATTTTGTGGAACGGAGGGAGTATCATATACAAGCGTTGCACGAGTCATATTTAAGTTACTAAATTATATTAACATCATTTTTGAATTTTACAAGATCGTACGTATATAATGGAATTTGGACATTTCATTATTTTAAGTTACAAAAGTTAAATCATTTACAATTTTTGAAATATTACTTTATAATTTACATTACTCGTACAAATTTGTGAAAATACTGTTTTTGTTGCATATCAAAATTTTAAAATCATTATGATTTATTATTCGTGAAAGGCGTGAAACTACAACATACAACATACAATTTTGCCCATTAACAAATAAAAATTTGTTCCGAGTTAATTGTGTTGTATTTTTTTCATTTTGTCAAATTGATACACCGTAATAAAGTAGAGATTTGTATACTCCATAAAAAAGGAGATTTATAAAAAGAAACTATAAAAAATTTGCAGTGTTTCGCTTTTATGGAAAGCAGTACTTGTAATGTCTTTTCTTTCTATTAACAATGAAAACCGTATGTTTTTCATTGAATAAAATAAACAATTATCTTATACTCGTTAGACATTTAAATATTTGTGTAATCGAGACTAGTTCTAAAATATAAAACAACACTCCTTAGATATTTAAATATTTGTGTCCAATTTTTTTAAAATGCTAGGTTTCACCATTTGCATCACCAGAATTTGAGGCGGTGATACCACTTCGTTGAGACCATCAATCACCAGATAAATATGATATGCCCACAATGTACAATTTAGCCAATTCCCTCTAAATATTAAAAAATAAAAATAAAGAATTCGTGATTCTCGAAGTAGAATTATTCATACATCATATTCATAATTTATGATTCCATTTAAATACATTATAAAGAGACTTTTATTTAGGTAATTATTTGTTGTAATTTAGCGATAAAAGTAAACTTTTATAGAGAACTTTTATTTTATGTTATTTTATTCATTTCTTTCCATATTATCAAAAATAGTTAGTATTTTGAAAATTTTGTCCCAATTATATTTCATTACCCGTGGAATAAAATAAAAAATTCAAATGTACGTTATTATTTTATGCTTGGATCAAAATGGTAATAAGTTTTAATTTTAAACTTTGATTAAAATGGTAATAAATATTCTAAACGTTTAAGTAATAAAAAATTTTTGGAAAATAATACTGTTCAAAACGTTTGTCTTTTTTGGAAAGGTGTTTAAGCTGAAAAAATTGAACCTTTAATACGTACTTAAATTTTATGATATTTCATATTTTCATACCTTTCTTTTCATAATATAACAAAAACAATAAATATATTGGATTGAATCAAATAAAAATGTATGATTATTAGAATATAAATTTTCACATACTTGTGGTCCTCCATGACCTACAATGTAACCTCCATCATCTGCTTTGGTGCCTGTTTTACCATACTGATTTCTACAGATTTTTGATGGGTTCCGACTAACAACCTTCCTAATTCAATATGCAAATACCGAAATATAAGACAAAGGTATTATATATACATTATACATATGAGTTAGTAATTTAATTATAACAATCTAAGTGGTGTGCACCAATTAACAATGCATTATCATCCAAAATCAATTTCTAAATTTCTTCAAATCCCATGATTTTGTAACTAAAATTTGGAAAGCTGTGTTAAAGTATATAACAATCATTCCTGGGCCACAACCACAAGCTTGATCCTTTGGTTGAGTTTGGTTCCTTGACATGGTATCAGAGTCTTGATGACCAAGAGGTCACGAGTTCAAAACTCAGCACGACCCAGTTTTAAAAAAAATTAAGGTTTCACGTGCAAGACTCAAAAAAGGTTATGCCTACACGCGAGGGGCGTGTTAGAGTATATAACAACCATTCTTGGGCCACAATCACAAGCTTGAGCTTTTGGTTGAGTTGGTTCCTTGACAAGCTGTTTGTGGTTATCTCCTGAAGTTTAGTCCTACAAAGAATTGTAGCATAAAAGGATTATTGGTAGTTTTTGTTATTTGGTAATTGCATAATGTTTTGACTCTTATCAGTAAATAAACACTATCTTCTTTCATATTTTCTTCTAAAGTGTTGGTTTTTGAATCTTTGATCTGCTCATGATTTCGATCTCCCTAACATTTCAAATGAAAAAGTACATCCAAGGATTCGGTTCCCCTGGATAAGGAAATGATAAACTCTTATCGCTCTTAGTTTAAGCATGCACAAAAACTGAGTGCCTCTGAACTTTATTTTTACGCCTGTTAACAACCCCATGTCACTCGAAAGGTATACTTGAGCAATTATATAATATATAATACTCCCTCCATCTCAAAAAGATGTTCCTTTTTCATTTTTTATACATCCCATAAAACACTTATAACCACATCTAAAATGCCTAAAATTTACCATATTTCTCCTTTATTGTGGGTAGAAGTTGTTTTGAAAGTTTTTTTGGCATTTGCCAACAAATAGAAGTGTTATATGAAATACACAAAAATGAAACATGAACATCTTTTAGGGACAGCGGAAGTATATAATATATGAGCTTAATATAATAAGAACTTAAAAAATCAAAACGCAGATCAAAGATGGTAATTGGAAAAAAAGTTTGAGAATGTCCATATTTATAGTAGAAAAAATTTATAAACATATCTCCTTTCCCCTCCACTCTTTTCATTGTTATTAAAAAATATTAATGTAAAAAAATTTAATGTATTGAAATAAAAAATGGAAACATTTTCAATGCTCATTTGAAAACAATATTTTTTTAATAAACATGGGAACATGTTTCCCTTTACCATTAATTCTTAATTAATATAAACCAAGAAGGTTATTGGTTTTGATTTTGAGTTCAACTAGCTAGAACGATGAACAATTGAGAGATGAGTGATCGCTTCAATTTTTGGTTTAGAGCTTTAAACTCAGCGTCAGGTTTAAGAATGAATACGAGAGGATAGAGGAAGTTTAATTGAAGAGAGCGGAGTGTGAATATACAATTTTATCCATGTTCTTAACGGAAATGTTAACAAAGGACTATTTGTGAAAAACAATATAATAATTGGGGACTAAATTATTGATTTTTCATATGTAGGGATCAAATATGTAAAATAACCTATAACTGGGAATCTTTTCTTGAATTTTTTCAATATTAAAATTTGAATTTGTAAGTACTGATGAATAAAAATTTAGACGGAGGAATAGGCTTTCTAGGAATCAAACTTTAAGATGGTCTTAGTTGTCCTCCATGTTGAAGGAGGAACATATTCTCCTACTTTTCCAAAGCATTCTTTCTCATTTGATTTTTCTTCACTTTTAATATATTCTCTCCATTCTTGAACACATTTGATCAAGCGCCAAAATAAGAAAGTGTTAAATTGTTAGTTGGCTTTCAATTTTGCCTTTAATGTGATGTGTAAGAGTAAAATATGATAGATAAATTATTAGAAAAAAAGTATGATGTGATAGGTAAAGTATGAAAAAGTAGGGGTAAAAGTATCTTTTAGCAGAAAGTGGAAGTATTTTGGTGAAATAGAAAAAAATGGAAGAGTAAGTGTTTTGGAGAACGGAGGAAGTAGTACTTTGAGTATATCTTTATTTATATATGAATTTATACTATTAATAATTTGTAATATTTAAAACTATATTTTAAAATAAATCTTTTGATATTACATTTTGAGTAAATTCCATAACTGATCCTTTATAATAGGGGGTTTCCATATTTAGTCCTTTATTATCAAATATTACCCTCGTAGTCCTTTTTTTAAGGGTACCTTTCCACAAATGGTCCTTTTTTGATCTTCTGTCGTGTTGGTGTTAATTTAAAGGCTAAAAGTATAATTTGACATCAACATTATGTTTAGTGACGTGTTCTGGTATTGGTTAAGCGAATAACACAAAAATAATGACAATGGTTGTGGGCTAGGGTTCTGACGAAAGACCATATTTGTAGACTATGGTTGTAGTAGATAGCGACTGTAATTCACAAACGACACAAACTGAACAGCCTTTGAAATTGTGTATGACAAAAAAGATATATTATCATTGTGAAATTATACTTTAAGCCCTCAAATTAACACCAACATGATAGAAGATCAAAAAAGGACTATTTGTGGAAAGATACCCATAAAAGAAGGACCATTTAGATAATATTTGATAATAGAGGACTAATTAGGGAAACCCCCCTGTTATAAAGGACCAATTATAGAATTTTAAATTTTTATTTACAATTCAATAAATTTTTTAAAAATTGTTGTCAAAGTTATAAATTTGATCAAGAAAGCCAAATTTAGAAGACTATTTTTGGAGGGTGGGAGTATTTGGAGTTTGCAGTGATTGTCACCAACTTGACTATGAATATACTTTCAGATGAGATAATTGTCATTTGCTTTCGAAGATTGTATCTCGAGTTTGCACTAATTGTCGCCAACTTGATTGTGATTATACTTTAATTTCAAATGATATTACATTAAAAGCACATTAATATGAATGAGTGGTTCTATTTGGATTGAGGGGAATTTAGTCAAATTCTTCTATAGACCTAAGATTAATATTTATTATATAGACCTTAGTACATTTGTAGTATAAAAGAACTGGATTTTTTGAAAAAAGAAAATATTCACATGCAAGCATATGAAAAATGTGAGAAAGTTTACATTTTAAATGTGGACCTTGCGACCATGTAAACCCCACTCTTCATATGAGTAAATTAATAAAAAGTAAATTCGATAAATCTTTATCGCAATATTATAAAAATATTTATATGCTCAATTTGTTCCAAAATTATTGTCTCTTTGAAAGTAATGAGGCTTAACTAAATTTATATTCATTTCAATTTATTTAAATAATCTACAAATTAAAGTTTCATAATAAAATTTATACTCCGTATATTACAAGAATTATATTAAACTCTCAATAAAATATATAAGAGGTGATTCGATTATATGATTATAATAAAATAATTAACAAAAATAAGTGAAGAAAGAAAATTTTTGACCAATGAACCGAGAATTGAGATAATTAATTCGAAACCTAAAAACTTGTCTAAATTTATAAGTGAATGGGAATCGATCTTTACATTTGGTCGGTCCATCAAAAAGTTGTTTTAAGGAAGCTTCATCAGCATAACCACAGTTGTTTTGGATTCGATGTTAAGTAGACAAATTACATTTACAAAATATGATGAGTGATAATATTTTGTACGTATGAGATTGTCGTTGAAACTTGAAAGACAAGATTACGTAGAAAATGCAAATTTCAAATTTCTTTAGTTTTTAATACATTACTTTGTTATTTGGTTGATTTTTTTTTTAATTTTAACTAGTTTATACTTCTTCCGTCTCTTAAATTCTTTCTCTTTTCTTTTTTTCTTGTTCCAGAAATTCACTTTTTCTTTTACTTCTACTATTTTTTAACCTACCTATTACATCATAGAGTATTTTTTTTATTAATAATCTATCAATCACATCTTACTTTACCTATCTAGGGGTGGACACGATACGGTTCCGGTCCGGTTCTAACTCTGGAACCGGCGGTTCCAGTACCGCACCCCATGGAACCGTTATCGGTACCGTCCCAACCGGTACCGGCGCCAGTACTAGTAGCAGCGGTTCCGGTACTGTATCGGCCGGTTTCCACCACATTCAATTTTTTTAATTTATAAAAGTGTAAGTATTAAAGAAAATAATGAAATAAAATATCTAAGGCGTTGGCACCCGTGTTGGAGCGTGTTCGAGATACTCTCGGGTGTTCATTGGATGTGCTTCCATTCACTTATCTTGGCTGTCCTATTTATCATGGTCGGAAGAGCATTCATTACTTTGAGCCGACACACTTGCTCGCTGCACACTTTCCTCCCAAGACAGTGATTCGAGAGATGGAGTCTATCATGGCACGATTTTTTTGGTCTGGCTTGGGAGGGACACGACGCTACCATTGGGGATCTTGGAAAACTCTAGCACGACCGACGAGGGAAGGTGGGGTTGGCTTCCTTGATTTTATGACTTTGGCTAAGTCTTGTTCGGCCAAGCTCTGGTGGAACTTTAGGACACAGGACACTATTTGGACGGCATTCATGAGGGCTAAGTACTGTAGCCGCGTCCATCCTGTGTCCAAGCAGCGTGTTGATGGCGATTCGCACACATGGAAGCGCATGCTAGATGTTCGAGCCGTGGTTGAGCCTGTGATTCGATGGCGTGTACTCTCTGGCACGTCTAACTTCTGGTGGGATACATGGTCTGGACTGGGTGCCTTGCATCGCCAGGTCGATGGCTGCAGTGGGTACTGGACTGGTGGAGTGGGTGATATGTATCGCTCTGATTTTATGATTGACCATGATGTTCTACCCCCTGATTTGTTACGGCAGTTGCGCCTTGAGCCGCCATCTCTTGTTTCGGCTCATGTGGATATTCCGGGGTTGACCCCGTCTACGGATGGGAAGTTTACTCTTGCTTCTGCTAAGGAGCTTCTTAGACCGAGGAGGGATGATGAGGTGGAGGACACTGTGCTTAAGAGGTGTTGGCAGAAACACTTACCCTATAAGATGTCCTTTCTAGCATGGCGCGTTTTGGAGAGGTGCCTTCCCACTGATGATGTCTTGGCGAGATTTGGCATTGCTTTGCCTTCTCGGTGCTTATGTTGTTCGCTGCCAGGACGGGAGACCATTACACACATTTTCTATCATGGGAGCATGGCGCGGCGTGTTTCGACTTATTTCACAGAGTCTGCCCGTATCCGGGGCACACATCACAGTTTGAGGTCCGTCTTGAGTATATGGTGGGCGCAGAGGCCGAGGAGCAGGATGCTCTCGTTCCTGTTCCATCGCCTGCCGATGATCATTCTTTGGGAGATTTGGACGCACTATGCTGCATGCAAGTATGGGGATGCTCGCCCCAACTTTGCACGCATTATTTTTCGGGTGGCTACGGCGGTGTCGGAGTGCATCTATCGTCGCTGGCCTAGCGGGGGTCTCTTGCCTCCCCGATGGTCAGTGATCATGGAGCACTAATTTGGGTGCCTTAACGACCGCGTCTGTGGTTAAGAGGCGCACGTATGTACCTGCGGTTAAAGGGTGCCCGTTGGTTCCCGCGGTTTGGGGCCACATGTTGTACCGACGGTGAACGGTGCCTTTGCGAGATGACGGGCGTAGTTTCGCAGAGTTTCTTTCGCCCCCGTCGACTCCTGCGGCTCCTGGGGTACGTCGGCACTTTCGTCTGGGTTTTTAGCGCCCGTAGTTGCCAGCGGTATTTGGCATCCTAGCCCGGGTAGAGGTGGATGTCCGGTAAAGGCTTTTTCCATCTCGCACTTCATCTGAGTGCCTTAACGACCGCGCCTGCGGTCAAAAGGCGCACGTATGCGTCCGCGGTAAAGGATGCCCGTCAGTGCTTGCAGATTGTGGATTTGAGCACCCGTGGCGCACACGGAAAGTGCGTATGCGTGGTACCGTCATCAAATCGGTGCCCTCGTTGGGAGGCTGGGTGGGGCCCGACGAGGTTTCTTCCGCCTGCGTCAGTGCTTGCGCGTGATGTTAGAGCACCCGCTATTTGCCGGCGGTAATGGGCTAAGGGTTGGCCACTGACCCATAGTGGTACCTCTCCTTTCTTCTCTTTCTTTTTCTATCCTTTCTGGACTTCATTTCTTGGATCATTCTTCTCCTCACATTTCATCACTTGGATCATTGGACTACATGGTATTGCTTTTGGACTGCATTTGGATCACATCTTGGACTTGGGTTTTTCTCGGTGGACTGCAATTGCGATTGGGCCTTCGGCTGGGCTCCTTGGGTCGGCATTGGATCGCAGACTGGTGGCTGCAATTGAGATTGGGCTCTTCTTGGCTCACTTGGATTATTTTTGCACATATTATTTTATTTATTTATTCATTATTTAGTTGGGCTTTTTTGGATTTTAGACTGAACTTAAGTTGATTGCATTTCTTGGCTCAGAACATTTTTCTTGATCTGGATTATCTGACCTTAGGCATTACCCTTGCGGGGGTTGGGACTGCGGGAATGATTTTATTCCTAAGATCTATTAGTGGAGTGTTGTGGGCCGGTTTTGTAGTTGTACTTAAGTTTGGGCCTATATATCCGATATGCTCCTCGCATTATAGTTCTTTGGTTGTTGCTTACTTTCTATACAAGTGTGGAGCCTGTTCCCGCTTGTTCAGACGTTTGTATTCTTTGATTATTTAATAAAATGCAATTTTCCAAAAAAAAATATAGTTGTTATTTAAATATTGAAAAATGAGTAATACACGAACAACTACATTGAATATCCTGACGGTTCAAAAAAAGCGACGAGGTAAAGAATCGTAAAGAAACCATTTAAAGAGCTTATTTATTGTTCATCTAAAAAACTACTTACATTAATATAAAAAAAGTTTATAACTTATTCCTCGGAACTAGGACTTCCATCTGTGATTGCATTCATGTAATGTTCGGCATTAGTGTCGTAGCCTGACTCTTGAGCTCGACATCTTGCCAAGAGCCAATCTCGGTTGCAAACAAGTGTCTTAAGCAATTTAGCGTTAAGACAACTTTTGTAGTCGACTAGAATGTTGCCGCTAGAACTGAATTTTTGTTCCACAGCTACGGTTGAAACCGAGACGGATAAAACTTGTCTGGCTAGCATTCCGAGAGATGGGAACATGTGTTTGTTCCGCTTCCACCACTCGAGGACGTCAAAGTCCATATCGTTGTTGTCGTCATAATCGCATGGCACCCCTCGGTGTATACGAATAAAGTTTGTTGCGCGACCTTACAGTTGTACCACCTGAACATGTTAAGGTGTCACCACGCTTACCTTTTTTTGCCAAAAGGCCGGCCACCGACTATCTCTTATGATATTTTCCACTCAATATATCAGAATAAATAGTAACACAAGAACTAAAAGTGAGAAAAAAATTTACCAAATTCATTTTTTCAACTTTATATTGTCTAATAATTTCTCTCTTAATTGTTTTTCTTGAAAAACCTCTTGCTTGAGGGTTTAATGCATTTTCACAATAATCAATAAATCCAAGTTTTTTAGAAAACATGTATTGCAAATTTTCTTCACATCTCATTTCGTCCATTTTTTGCTTATTTTTCTCATCGATATAAGCAAAAAGGTCACCCTTACCCCTGTTAACAAACTGAGAAATTTGGGATTACACTTCTTTTCGTCCCTTCTTTTTCGCCGCGTATTTGGCGTACTCCGCGAGGTGCCTCGCTCTTAGGTGTTTTTCCGGACCACCATATTAACCCCCGGAAATTCCCATTTTTATGACGGTCCCACAATAATTACAAGTTCCAAAAACTTCGCCATTTTTTTATAATTTGAAAAATGATAAACAAATAAATCAGATTTATATTTTTTTTACCTTTCCCCGGACCTTTAGAGGTCGCAGGCTCATCTGCCTCCTCCTCGGCGTCGGTAGGATTTTTGCTCTCGGGTGTAAGCTCCACGTCCTATTTTCCTCCTCTCTATTATATCTCTCTTTCCAAATTGTACACCACCCATCCCTTGGTACGCTAGGGATAACCAACAAACATATATTTAACACTACAAGGTGCAACTTTATTCGGAAATTTTTGACAAACAAAACAAAGACACCCAAATATTTGATGATAACTCAGGTAGATTGCAGTTTAAACACATTCACCCAAGGGAAGTCCCTCAGCAAGTCGGGTTGGTGGCGATGTTTGTCCCTAACGAACTCGAACCCAAGCTTTGCGAGGGACTCCCCGGTCACCACCGACTTGATCTCTACGGCTCCCTTGCCGTAGAGCTTTTTGGTGATGGACAGGAGAGCAGCGTTTGACTTGGGGGGCATGACGCGACGGAAAGATGGGTGCCTAGAACCCGTGAAAGGAGATTAGGGCCTCGTGGAAACAAAGACAAAAAAGGGTTTCCAATCCTTGGTCGACCTTTTCTTATCGCTGGTGAAGAGTTTGCTTGACCACTGGGAGAGGCTAGCGTACGACGCCCAATCTACATGGCCTTTGGCCAGTTTGAAGGTGAAGAGAAAATGGTCTAAGGTGGGCTCCACCCCAGCTTCCTTGCACTTAATCTGATAACCGGCGATGTACCGGTGTGAGTTTGGGACTAGTTGGCAAGGGAGGAGGTCCACCTCGTTGAGAAACTCGATCAACAACGAGTGCAGAGGGAACGGTAGCCCCTCCTTCAAAGAAGCCAGGTGAACAGTGAAAAGCCCTGGAGGAGCATTCAGGGCGGTCTTGGTCCTGCTAGGCCGACGGACTTCAATAGAGGGGTCGACCATGTCAGTAGCGTCATCAAACCCTTAGTCATTGACTTGGCAATGACACAGAGCCATGATATTCTCCTCCAATCTGACCCTGGAGCCTTTTAGTGCAGGGGTCGAGGAGGGAAATTGCTTTCTCAGCCGGCGCAGCTTTTGGCCGGGTGCCGCCGCCGATGACGGCTGAGGAGAACTAGATTGGCCTTGATCTTGGCTAGAGGGGGCCGAATGATCGGACTGATGATGGTTAGGCATTGAAGAGGCTGAGTCTGAATCAAAGATAATCATGATGGCTAAGGGAGAACTGACCTGAAGATTGAGAAAAATGGGTCGAGTTGCAGCGAAGAAACAGGCAAAGAAACAAGCGTTGCAGGTGGAGACGAAGGTGGCGTCCAGCGGCGGTTCTTATCAAAGTAGAGTGGAAGGCGAAGCAGTAGGTCATGATTGTATTTAGTGGAGATCGTGTAAACCGTCACGTGAAATACCAAGGAATGGCTCTAATCCGTGTAGGGGGTGTCCACGTGGACCTCGCAAACTCCCCATCCCTCGACGCAGCCCGTCGGAGGAATGAGGAGTTGGGGGGCTTGTGATGGGCCGATACCCAACGGGCGGCCCAAATATTACACCTGAATAGCGTTGGCTCATTAGCGGGGGTGAGCATCAATTCTAGGCCGGCCTAAGAGGTTGGGCCCGGGCTGATCCAATGAAATGACAGCTGGAAGAGTCCAACCCAAGGGAGGAGATTCAGCAGAAGGCTGGGACATAGCCGAAGAAAGTAGATCGCGCCAATGGCGGACGAGTCTCCACTAATTATGAACTACCTTAATTATACAAGAGACCATGTATAAATAGAGCGGATCCGAATGAGGATCCTCAAGCTGAATCAAGCTAATAAAACATATAGTTCTCGAGTTCTTGTTTGTTATAATTTCTTTCAATCCGCTTTTCTGAATCGGTTCATTTGGTGGATTTATTGTCCATCAATGCGTAAAAAGAGAGGACGACTCATCCGAAATCGATTACTAAAATCCTCCGGTGTATAAACACACGGAGTATTGAAGTAGTCGTTGAGAAGTGAAGCGTGGGCATCCGCTCGATTCCGATTTAAACGTTGTCGTCGAGTCCGTCGTCGGGAGGATTCTGCTCCTTCTTCGCCTTGTTTCCACCATTGATAACAACTTGTGGCAAAACAGCGAAAAATGATAGCTCTCTTTTCATCCTCAGATGAAGATGATCCCATTTTTAAAATATGTTCTAGAAATAAATAGAAAAATATTTGAAAGAATATTTGACAGAATTATTGAGAGAAGATAGAGAGATGTGTGAGAGATAGATTTGTTTTGATTGATTTTATAGATTTTTTTTAATTTAATTTTTTTGTGGGTAACGACTCTTTTAGTCGTTGGGGAGGGTTGGGAAGTGGGCTGCGCTGAGTCAAAGTTTTGACGTAGGGGAACTGACGCCCCTTAACGCTGCCATGAGGGCGATGTTTAACGTTCGTTGGGCGTCAAAAGGCGGTTGACGCCGGGGGAGGAAGATGATGGGCCGTGTGCGATTAAAAGGTGTGCGCACACATTTTAAAGGATAATGACCTCGGCGCTTCCTTCGGTGCCCTTTTAAAACTGGGTGTTTAGAAACCCTCTTTACTTGGCCCAATAAAAAGTAGACGTGTGGCACCACATCATTTTAAAGATATCACGGTACGGAGTATTGTTTCTTTACTGTTTAGCCCCAGGGACTGAATAGCAATTCTTATACCAATTCTTAATTATTCTTTCCGTCGAGCTGCCGTTTCCTCCGCCGCTCTCTCTCTCTCAAGTTATTACGATGGCGGCTGCACATATGCTATCAACGGCCACTGATTGTATCTGCTACGTCCACGATTTTCTCTCCCTCTATTCTGATTTTTCTCCTTCTCTTAGAATTTTTGTCTATCTATCCCCCTTTTATCCCGTGTACCATCTCCAGTAAATTTATGTTCCATTTTTCAAATTTGTTTTCTTCATGTGATTATGTGAGATTCTTTGGAGGAATAGGAGATATGTTTTCTTGTCGGCCATCTTGATTTGGTTAAACCGTTAAAGTATGAAATTATGAATTTTAGATTACTTTTGGCACAGTTTTTTGTTAGGAGTATTTTATTCTTGGTTTTATATTCAACTAACTAGTTTATTTAATGTCGAATTCTCTCTGGGTGATGTTGGCCATGGAAACTACAAAACAATAAATTTTAATTTTATTATTATTGTTTTTTTAAAAAAACTAAGTGAATAGGTGTAGAAAAGAAATTATGTTACCAAATTAAAAAAATGCCAAACCTATGAAGTACTATTGATTATTCAAGAGCTCTGAGAAGAACAATGTTTCTGGGACTTTGAGCAAATTCGTACTGATAACGTGTTGTAAAATGGGAGAAAAACTACTTAGAGACTATGAAAATAAATATAATATATTTCTGCTTTTTTCTCTCTATTAACTTTTCACTCGTCTTCTTATTCTTAATGGTGATTACAATGCAGGGATTAGACATCTATTTATAGTGGAGAGGCTTGGTATGAATACAAATACAAGTGGAAGGACTGTACAAAATTAGTATTCATCAAATAGTGTCTTAATCTACTATTCTAGAAAGTAGGCCTGATTAATTGAAAAAATAAACAATCATTAATTTCATAACATTTTGTTTATTTTGAACCAAAGTTTATTTTTTATTCAATCCTCAAATACTCTAATTCCTCAATTGAGTTCATCTCTTCTCTTACACCCTCATCATCTCCCCCGCCCCCGCCGCCCCCTCCCCTCACCGCCCCCAGAGAATGGAGCACTATAAAAAGATTCAAAATTGATCGTGTATAAAAAAATAAATTATGCTCCCCTAAAATATTTTAAAATTATCTCAAAATATCTATGTTTTTATTCAAATATCAACATAGTTTCAATAAAATATGTCGGAGAATATGACTTTTTGTGAAAATTATTTTTATCTAGAATAATTATCTAGACACATAATTTCCCACAACTAAGACTCTGTTCCGTTCAACTTATTTTTTCTGATCTGATCTGATTTTGATAAGTTGTGATCTGATTTGATCTGATCTGATTGGATATGATTTGATATGATCTGGTCTGATCTCATTGGATCTCATCTGATCTTATCTGGTCTGATCTGATTAATTATGATTTGATTTAAAATTCAAATCAATAATTTTAAAAGTAGATTTAGATTGACATTGTCAATGTATTTTAAAAATAATTTTTCCGATGTCTAATAATTAAGGATTACTTCGGTTTTCTATTTAACTTGTTTCTAAATTTTATTCTTTTTCATTTTTAAGAATAATAATGATCATAATATTGATAATAATAATAATAATAATAATAATTCTTCATGGGATCTGATCTGATTGGATCTGATCTGCTCTGATCTGATTCGATCTGATCTGATCTGATCTGATTCGATCTGATCTAATCTAATTTTAATAAGAATAAGAAAAAATAAGTTGAACGGAACGGGGCACCCTAACTTCCAATAGTTTCCAATTTTTTTGGTTGCCTTTTAACTTCTGTTAGTTTCTTCTAATTCTTTCTAATTTTTTTAATTTAATTCTTCCAACCTCTTTCAACATTTTCAAAATTCTTTCTACTCTTTTAGTTTCATCTAACTTTTTCTTATTCTTTTCAATTGTGATTTAAAATTTATTTGCATGCATTTTTCTTATTATTATTATTATTATTATTATTGTTGTTGTTGTTGTTGTTGTTGTTATTATTATTATTATTATTATTATTATTAATATAGCGCAGTTTTAAAAAATGACATATGAGCATTGATAAGTCCGTTTTGTACGCAATTATCTTCTCTATATTTAATGTGTTGTGGTCCAATTTTGGATTAAACAAATCAATTTCTCAATGGTTTTTATATCTTTTATTTATAATTGCAAATGTACACAAAAGTTATGTCTATTTTTTAAAAAGAATAAAAATTGAGTCAAAAGTGGTAAAAAGTGTAAAAGATTGTGCAAATGGAGTGCAACGGAGCAAAGGAGCAAAAGATGGTGAAAATCCTTAAAGTGAAACATGTTTATTCAACTTTGGAGATGCACCCCGTCGAAAGATTTGAGGTCAAACGGATTGAAAAAGCAACAAAAAGAAATTGTTTGGAAAGAAAGAGTAAAAAATGTTGATTCAATTCAAAATTAATTCGTTTGACCCAGATTTGTTCGGAATTTGAAGTCGACACAGAAGGAAAAGTTGTTCAGAATAAAATTTTGAGCAAGTGTGTATTTTTAGAAAATATTTTCGGACCGGTTCAAAATCCGGCCAACCAGGTGCTGCCACGTGGCGCGACCTGGCTGGCCGGCCGATTGTGGAAGCAGGGACATTTTGAGGCAAGTCAGATTTGAGGAATCAATAAAAAAAATTGATGAAAGTAAAGAAGGAAGCAAGCTAACGCAAGTAAGAAAGAAACAAAAAAAAATATTAAGGATAGATTGCATTCATTGGAAAATTAGAGCCGTCAGCCGCACCTCCTCCCTTTTCAGCACAGGCGTGCGCCTGGATCTCAGGCCCACGCCTGTCAGAGGCCTGGACCGAAAATTTCTCCTATAAAAGGAGGCCTTCGCCCTTCATTTAAAATCAAGCCTTCTTCCGGGTCTTTAAGGCTCAGAACTCCATTCTCTGCTCTTTTCTCAGTTATATTTTAATATTTTAGTTTAGTTTTGTTCTGGTTGTCCCAAAGTGGCTCCGACTCTGCCCTCTGTTGTAAGTTTTAATACTTGCAATTTTAATAAAATGCTTTCTTTTATGCACTGTTAATATTTAGTATGGGTTAGGACCCGAATGAGGGTCTTGGCTAAATTTGGGCATATACTCTTTATGTTTATTTAATAGTTGGAGTAATTGTTCTAGAATTATTTTTATCGTTAAATTAATTAATTATGTCGAGAGAAAAATTAATTAATAATTGGAAATTAGTTTTTACCTTGTCTATGAGGATATAAAATTAATTAAGCCAAACTTTTTAGAACACATTAATGTTGCCTTGAGAGAGGATAAGTTAATGAAATATTTGTGACAGAAATATTATTATTCCAATTATTGATTAAATATGTGACAACAGTAGTTAACTCACATGATGCCTTGGCATGAAGTCTAGTCCTATACCCGTACTATTTATTTTCTTTTTCTAAAAAAAACACCTTGTACTTTAGATTATTTCCAAATCAAATCGAGAGGACTTTCAGACCTGTCCTAACCTTCGTCTAGTTAGAAAAATTAGCTAATTCCCTTCGTCCACTCCTCGAGAGACACGATACTCGAAGAAAACTAACCCTTCATTGGGAAAGTTGACTTACCGAAAAACTCAATCATCAAATGGCGCCGTTGCCGGAGAGTGGCACGGTTTTAGTTTAATTTTTTTAATTAGCTTAGGTGAAGACCAGTTAGGTCGATCTTCTCACCTCTTTTCCACAAACCACCCGTAGTAATCATTAAAAATGAATTTTCGAGATGATTACTACGATCCACCTCCTTTCTACCAACCACCCAACCATCCACCATCATTTTCCCAACAGTCCAATTCCTATCCACCATCACCACCACCATATTATCCACATCAGGATTCATATTATGATCACTACTCAGTCAATAATGGACCTGATTATTATCCATACCATGAGGAATCACCATACGATACCCCGTCTCGGAGCTTTGGATATTCTCCATACCAAGACAACTGTGGGGATTATTATGAACCTCATGATGATCAAAATGATTATGACGAACAAGGGCCAATGTACGATGACCAGCTAGATCCACTTATTGAAGAGATTTTGTGGACAGAGAAAAGAATACTTTATCTTGACCTAGCATTAGTAATGGAGTGTTCATTATTTGAACCACCCTATTGCCGTGATTACTCTCTGACTCGTGAAGAGCAAATCGAAGCAAATAGAGATGCAATCCAGGCGAGAGAACGATTTCTCAAAACAGTCCAAGAAGAACGCCAACTGCTCCAAACCCAGAAAGATAACGAACAACACGAATATTGGGAGCATATGCAAAAGATGCTGGAGGATTTTAAGAAGGCTATGGAACAACAAGAAGAGATGGAGGAAAATGTTGTTCTAGAAGAGGATGAAGAATCTGAGACAGAATCTGAAACTAAATCCAACAATGTCTCAATTCTTGAATACCCACAAACTCCATCACCACTGTATATCGAAAACAAGATAACACTTGCAGAAATGATTGCACAAGGTACAGTGGTGATGCTTCCTGAAAGCCCGAAAAGTCAAATCGTACAAGAGGTGAAGCATACTAAGGGTCCTGTCTCAGAACCGCCTTCACCAGCTGCACCAGAAACGTTGGATGAATCTATGCTCCTAACATGTGTTGAAGACACTTCTCTAGAGGAACCTGTTCTGGAGAAATCTGAGCCCACCACCGACCCCCTTGATTCCGATACTGATGAGTCTGACGAATCTATAGACGAGAAAATACCTTGTGATGCTGAACCCATTCCATCTATAGAAACTATCACTGAAGACTCAGGGGAAGGAAATGTTGTAATCATTGAGCCACCAACAGAAAATCAACCCATTGAAGACTTGGAAAGTCAAATCCTGGCACTGAAGGCCAATGATGTGGATACATCGAGGAGACTCCCATCACCACCCATTCAAGACGAGTCTCCTCCTTTTTTCCTGTTGCCACCAAGCCGCAGGAATGAGTCAAAGATCCTAGACTTTGACTACAAAAGAACATAACAAAGGTGGCATCAGAAGAGAGTCAAAAAGGTTAACCTTTATGACTCTCGGATCGGTAAGTCCCGTAAAAAACGGGCTAACGTCAAGCTAGTGACGTTAAAGAAGCGCTTCTTGGGAGGCAACCCAAGTGAATAAATTTTATTTTTTCTTTTTTCTTTTTACGCGTTTGTGTGTTTATGTGTGCAGGTGGAGTTTGGAATTAGGAGTGCTGGTGAACCATTTTTGACTCAACAAAAAAAAAGAGGAATGACTAACTTTTGTGCACAATTTTGTAAAAACTTTTTTTAAAAAGAAAAAAAATTGAGATTATCTCTGTCCCAAACTCTTGTTTTTATCGCTTAATGACCTCGAGGGCGAGGTCAACCCTAAGTGTGGGGAGATTGGAGTTTGGTACAGAATATTTTTATTTGTGCAGGAAAACTTTTTGAAAATATTTTTATACACTTTGTTGCATTTTGTATATTAATAGTGATCTCTGCACTGTGTACGGAATGACTGTCTAAGCTGGAATGGTACTTAAGTGGACACAAAAGGTGACGCCTTCAGGAGCCGAACTTTTCCCACCATTCCTACTGGGTCATTTCGTAGAAAGGTTTATTCGGGTGAGCCTAAGAGCACCTAATTGGCAGCATTCTGCCCGATCCCGAATACTCTGAATCGGTCTAGTTATCACTATTGATACTTTTAAAATTCTTTTACACTTTTTACTCTTTTCATAGGTAGAATTATTTTTAATAGCCTCCTTATGCAAAATTAGCCAAAATTTTAAAATTTTTTCTTTAAATTGCACATATAGTCTTTTTATTG